ACCAGTGGACACAGACAACAGTGTGGGAAAAGCCATGAGAGGGGTGGGAGCAGGGAGGAGGGGGCAATAGGGGAAAAAGAAGGAACATCTGTAATACATTCAACAATAAAGATAAGTTTTTTTAAAAAAATGTCCTCAGGTGAGGATTAAAAAAAAAAAGGAGCCCTGGCCAGTTTGGCTCAGCGGTTAGAGCGTCCGCCTGCGGTCTGGAGAGACCCGGGTTCGGTTCCCGCTAAGGGCACGTACCTCGGTTGCAGTTTGTCCCCGGCCCTGGTTGGTCGTGCGGGTGGCAGCCACTCGATGTGTCCCTTTCACGTCGATGTTTCCCTCTCTCTCTCTTCCTCTCTCTCCCTCCCACTCTGTCTGTACAAAAAATGGAAAAAATGTCCTCGGGTGAGGATTAAAAAAAAAAAAAAAAAAAAGGAAATAAAGTTCAAGATGACAGAATTTAATCCTAGCATATCAATAATATGTGAAAGGTAAATGGACAAAGTATTCCAATTAAAAAGCATAGATGATCACAATAGATTTACAAAAACGACTGCCTATAAGAGATAATCAACTTCAAATACATAACCACAAATGGGCTAAAAACAGATGGATAGAAAAAAGATGTACCATTCAAACAGATGGATTGAAAAAAGATGTACCATTCAAACAGTAAGTACAAGAAAGCTGGTGTGGCTAAGTTGACAGCAAACAAAGAGGGACATGTTATGATGGTGAATGTGCTGGTTAACATTCCTAAAAATATATAACATAATAGAGCTCCAAAATACATTTAGAAAAATGCATTTATATACTCCCAACTGACATAACTAAAGGAAAAGTAAACAAATCCACATTCATTTTTGGAGATGTTAACACCCTTCACAGTAATGCATAGAACAAGTAGACCAAAACAAAATAAAACCAGATCTGAAAAATGCTACCAACCAACTTGACCTAATTGGCATTTGACCTAATTGACAGACCACTACCACTAATATCTGTAAATACACAAAATTCTTTTCAAGTGTACTTGAAGCACATACCTAATATCCTAAAATGAGTTATAAAATAAGTCTGATTTTTTACAAGAGAAAAGATTCTTAAATAGATATCTCTGAGTATAACGGAATTTAAAATTATAAGTCAAACCCTGGCAGGTTTGGCTCAGCAGTTGGAGTGTTGCCCTGTGGACCAGAGAGTCCTGGGTTTGGTTCCCACTAAGGGCACGTTCCTCGGTCGCAGTTTGTCCCCGGCCCCGGTTGGGGTTGTGTTGATGGCAACCAGTTGATGTGTCTCTCTCACATCAATATTTCTCTCTCTCCCCACCCCCTCTTGCTCCATCTGAAGATAAATGCAAAAATGTCCTCAGGTGAGGGTAAAAAAAAAATTATAAGTCAACAACAAGATATCCAGAAAAGCATAAAACAGTTGATAATTAAACATTTCATTCTTAATAACATGCAAATATTCTACATAATGAGAGAAGCCCAAGGTAAATTAGAAAATGTTTTTAACTAAATACTAAAAAAAACAATGAAGCAAAAAACTGGCTCTTTGAAAAAAATAAAACTGGCGGACTCCTAGCAAGATTCTTTTTCTATAAATAAATAATAACAAGAATAATGACCAATTTAAGGAATAAAGAAGGAGATATAACTACAGACCCTGTAGACATAAAAAACAACTTTATGCCAATAAATTTATCAACTCAGTATATTTGTACAATGGAATACTTCTAAGCAAACTCATGCACAGAATAACAGGGATAGATCTCACAGCTATGTCTCTTTGAGACAAGCAGAGATCTCCTAGGGTGTTCTGAAACTTGCAAAGCTAATTTATGGCGGGTGATGCAATCAGATCAGTGGTTGCATGTGGGGTAGAAGGTGAGACAAGCGGAATTCACTGGAAAGGGGCACATGATATTTCTGGGATGATGAAATATACACATTGTCAAAACTCATCATATTGTACACCTGAACTTTATTGAATATAAATTTATTTCAATAAAATTGATTTTTAAGAAAAAATTTTAAAATACCACAAAAATAGAAAGCAATGTGAATTTAGTTCAAAATATTTTAAAATTTTAAAATTTCTTCAGTACCTGTTGGTGTGGCTCAGTGGATTGAGCATTGTCCCATGGACTGAGAGGTCCTGGTTTGATTCCCGGACAGGGCACATGCCTGGGTTGTGGGCTTGATCCCCAGTAGGGGGCGTGCAGGAAGCAGCCGATGAATGTTTCTATCTCTCTCTCCCTTCCCCTCTCTCTCTCGAAAAAAATCAATAAAAACATATTTAAAAATATAAAAATTCTTCAAAATTTTTAAAATGCTTCATTTCTACTATATACCTTCTTCCGAGATCAGACGAGATCGGGCGCGTTCAGGTGGTATGGCTATAGACACTATATACCTTCTTAACAGAATAGGAAGCATAACTGTGGGTCAGGAAGTATGCTAGACGCTTTCACAGATGACACTTCACAAAGATATGCTCTAGCACGGTGCCTTGGGAGACAGAATGAGCAAAAAAGCTGGAGCCAGAAGACCTGGATTTAAATAATGACTGTATATGATCTGTTTTTCTTTTTTCTTTTTGTTAATCCTCACCAGAGGATATTTTTCCATTGATTTTTAGAGAGAGTGTAAGGGAGGAAGGAAGGGAGGGGGAGAGAGAGAGAGAAACATTGATGTGAGAGAGACACATCCATTTGTTGCCTGCTGCACAACCCCGGCCAGGGCTGGGAATCGAACCTCCAACCCAGGTACATGCGCCTGACTGAAATAGATCTCACGACCCTTTAGTCTGCGGACCAATGCTCTAACCACTGAGCAAAACGAGCTAGGGCTCTCTTAGTGATCTCTTAGTTTTGTGACCGCAGGCAATTCACTTAATTTTAAATTTCATCAACTAAAAGACTGATGTGAAGATTTGAAATATTATTTTAAAATAGACTCTGATTAAGTGAAGGACAAAACCCACACCATGGACAGGGAAACCACAGACAGGAAGATACAGGGAGAGCCTGTTCTGAGTCATGTTCGTGTGTGAACGGGCAGAGGAGAGGGTGGAAAGAGGCTTCCAAGCGTGAGGACTTAAATGCTATGTTCCTATCATGAGAAGTAGGTGCAGTGTTCGGACAGGGTTGGCCGATGTCCCAAAATGAATATACTTTCATTGTGACCTGAACGACAGCATCCCGGGCAAACAATTCCTCGTCCTGACGAGGACCATGAAAGGGAGGCTCCTTGTTCACTGATGCCTCCAAGGGGCTCTACCCAGGTTCCTGAGAGCTGCAAAGAGTCTTCTACTACTATAGATCTTTGAAGTGCCAACATGACTGATGAACACGTTTTCCTTCTTATCCTTAGCTTTTCAAGATTTTGCTCTAAATGAGACAACCGGAAGAGATCTGGATATAGCGGCAGTAACCACAATACTGTCATTAATGCCTCGTAGGCTCATCTTCAATAGAGTTCTAGGGAATAGGTCTGACAGAGTATTCTAAAAGTACATGAGTATAGCCCGGCTGGTGTGGCTCAGTGGACTGAACGTTGTCCACGGACTGAGAGGTCCCAGTTTGATTCCCTGTGAGGAAACATGCCCGGGTTGCAGGCTCCATCTCCAGTAGGGGGCATGCAGGAGGCAGCCGATCCATGTTCCTCTCTCACATCGATGTCTCTATCTCTCTCTCTCTCCCTTCTTCTCTCTCTAAAAAAATCAACAAAAACATATTTAAAAATAATAATAATAAAAGTACATGAGTATGAAAATCAACAGAGGCTCCATTTAAGACCTAAAAAGTGTCGTACCTTCCCTGAAATGTGGAGCCACTAGTAGAACACCTAGAAATTCAACAGGCGATCACAGTCACAGAACAGTGTGATAAGTTGTCTGATGGAGGGTTAAACAGAGCGCTATGGGGCACACAGAGAGGATAAGGAATCACGTGGTGGAGGAGGAAGCGGTCCTGGCACATTCTCGAGGAGAGTGAACCTGTGCTGAGTCCAAAGACGTTAAGGAGTTATTTGGGCAGAAAGTATTTTAAGGCAGAGGGCACAGCACACACCAAGACTCAAAAGGGATGGACGGTGCCATCCGCAGAAAACTGCAAGTAATTTCACAGAGCTAGAGCGTATGGTTTGAAGGGAGCATGGGGAGGTGGCAGAGGCACAGGCAGGGTCTCCGGAAGGACCACTTTCAAAATCAGGCTGAAGGAAGTTAGTTTGCCTTGAAGACGAAGGAGAGCCACTGAAGGACTTAAGCAAGGAGCACCACGATCCAATTAGCATGTGTGAAAGATCACTCTGGCCACACCGTGGAGAACAGATTAGAAGGGAACAGAGGCAGAGACAGGAACACCCGTGAGGAGACTGTTGAGGAGACCCCGAGGGAATGACGGTGCCTCCCACAGAGGAGCTGCCATGCAGACAGTAAAGAGGTCCAGCTCCCAAGACTTGTTCACTGATTCAAGGGAAAAGGAAGGAATCAAGCACGACTCCCAGGCCTCGAGCTCGGATGTATAATGGACAGGCCTCCTGTCCACGGAGATAAAGAATAAGTCAACCTGCATTTGAAAGCATCACAAACAATGATAGTCCACTACATTTAAGAAGAATGAACACAAAGACACAGGTTGCCTTCGACAGTATGGATACATCATCACCAAGAAACATCAAACACTTAAATTTACAGAGAAGGATAAGTCAGAGTTAGAGAAATGTCCTGTCTAACGTGTTGATGAATGAATAATCAAACAATAACGCAGTAGGCAATTCACTAACAAGAGAGCCACCTGCTGCCTGACTAGGATAGTGCAGCAATGAAATGCCACCACCGCATGTGGAGGGAAGCCAATCATCTGAACACTTCACACTGTACAAAGTATCTGCGCCCCCCCCCAATTCAGGTGGTTAGCACTGGAAGCTAATAGCCAAATATTTTCACTTGTTTCACCTAAAAACATCCATTCAGTCTATACCATCATGTGACAATAATATGCTTACCTGCCATCATTGCTATCATACTGGCTTTATAGACATTCGTAAGAGATCCAAGTTCTCCCGTTGCTAAGATGGTTTTGAGATGAGCCTTCCCACAGGCCTTGCGGAACTGTCGAACCTCATCATACAGGGCTGGGGGAGGAAATAATTGAGGCGGTTACAAAGCAGGCAAGTGATAACAAGACTTGGCAGCCGTTTAGAGCTGGTAGAACCCATCTCAGATTTAGGAAATATAAAACATTTGTCACTTTCTAAAAATCACCCCAATTTAATATCGCCTAGAGCATGCTGTTGCAGTTCACATTCTGTTACAAGCAATGCTTAGTTTGCTACCGTGAAACAGTTTCCAAGTCCTGGCCCAAAGTCCAGAGCTGTGAAGCTTTTAAAATATCATTATAAGGACAGGCAAATTACAAATAATTTCTACCTCTTCCAGATGACGGTTAGTTACAAGAAAAAAGAAATTTACCAACCACTTATACAAGCGTGTACCACTTTGCAAACTAAAGAAAAAAATTCCTCAGGTCCTTATTAATTCTTCCATTCACACGTAAGTTCTCCTGTTGGACTATAAAGCAGGACTTTCCTGAGAGCTCTGCTAATGACAATAAGTCATGACAGCTAGTCACACTGTCGGCCAGGGTGCGTGTCTATGTCTCTGACTAAAAGGTGTTGAGGTGGTACTGGATGTATGTGTGCAGAATGAGCCGTAGACGAACTGACAGGTGCAGCCTCTTGAATCCGTTGACCTTCAAACCACATCTGGCTTTCTAGGACTCTATATAGCACCCTGCAGCTTGATTATATACATATAAAACTATTCACAATGCCTGGCTGCTGTGGCTCAGTGGCTGAGCATCGACCCATGCACCAAGAGGTCACCGGTTCGATTTCCAGTCAGGGCACATGCCCAGGTTTGGGCCTGATTCCCAGTAGGAGGCATGCAGGAGGCGGCCAGTCAGTGTTCTCTCTCATCAATGTTTCTCTCTCTCTATCCCTCTCCCTTCCTCTCTCTCTAAAAATCAATAAAGAAAAAGGAAAAAAAAACAAAAAACTATTCACAACAAAATAAAGTCAAGGGGAAGAACATTTCATATTCAAAGTAACCGAATTTGAGTAAACAATACCAGTATAATAAGTATAAACTTTCTGGAAAAATATTTGACAGTCTCCTGTCCTGACACCAGTGGATTTGGGCTCTCACCCTGCATCAGGTTGGCCATATTCATTTCTCGAACTTGAACTATTGCAAATTATCAGGGCTAAGGGCAGGGCTTTTTCTTTCCTCTGTGTGTTTTATAAGCACACAGACTAAACTGAACAGGGAAGAAACATTCATAGCAAGGGTTAGGGTTAGGGTAAGTGTTTTTTAATACAAAAATGAGAGTTCTGTAATTCATAAATTTCCTACAGCATGTATAAAGTACTTAAAGGTCAAGAAGCTCAGTTAAATCCATGAAAGTTATAACAAGAGGAACAAAACTTGTCTTCCCAATCCTAGAAAAGCTGAACTTCACTTGAAGCTAAAAGTGAAAACAACTTGAATCAAGTCAAATGTTCTATTATGAGATGCTTGGTCAAGTTCAGTGTTTGCAGCCACCAGAGACGGTCTCTCAGATTTTTCAAGAAAAGATAGAATGTTTCCACAAATCTCTAATACTCCATAGTTCTGAGTACTAGAAATGATCCGAGATGCCACACCCCTAACTTCCTTACCCTGCCCATCCATCCTAGACGGAGAAAATCATGACCCTCACATCCAATACGACATGTGTGAGAATGACACAAGCAGTGAAAGATTGTGACGAGAACAATTTATATTCTTTTAACTCAGAGAATGAGTTACTGAATCTAAAAAGAGAAAGCTGTTCTCTAAGAAATAGTGACAAGGAAATCTCTTGATCTAAAAATTCAAGAATTCTAATCCAGAGTTAATTTGTGGTTTAATTTAGGACTTTTCTTCCACAGTAGTGTGGTACAAAAAGCAGGCTGGAGAGTCAGACAAACATGGATTTTTTTTTTTTTTTCATTTCAGTATTTATTTTTTAATATTTTTATTGATTTTAAAAAAATTTAATTATACACACACACACACACACACACACACACATATTAGAGAGAAATATTGATGAGTGAGAAACATCGATTGGCTGCCTCCTGCATGCCCCCTCCTAGGGATCAAGCTCACAACCTGGGCATGTGCCCTGACTGGAAATTGAACTGGTGACCTATTGGTCCATGGATCAATACCCAACCACTGAGCCACACTGGCTGGACTTATTGATTTTTAGAGAGAGAGGAAGGGAGAGGGAGAAAGAGAGAAAAACATTGATGAAAGAGCAAAACACCGATCAGCTGCCTCCTGCATGCTCCCCACAGGGTATCAAGACCACAACCCAGGCATGTGCCCTGACCAGGAATCAAACCGGCAACCTTTTGTCCAACCAACTGAGCCACACTAGCTAGGGATAGACAAATATGGATTCCACCACTTACTGTGTGACCTTGGGCAAGTTATTTCTCTTAGCCTCAGTACCATCCTAAAAGTGTCAATAATAACATTCATTTTATAGGGTTATTATGAGGATTAAAAGGGAAGATATATATATATATATATATATTACTCTTCACATTGCCTGGCTTATAAGCACTCAAATCATGTAATCGTTCATAAGCTCAGAATACTAGTAAAATGAGTTTCCATTAAGTGTTGTGTGATGAAAGTCAAATTTTGTTTCATGGCTTGATCCAACTCCTTGTACTACATGAAATTTTTTATATGGATTAGTGCTTACAGTCAGTGAGCCATCAGATAGGGCTTGAAAATATTTTAGTACAGCATTTATTAAAGTGAACGTTGGCCTCCATAACAAAACTCTTAAAACACTGATCCTGATTATATTTATGGACAAAACTACCACCCTTTTTCTAAAGAGTATTACCTTTTGCTATCCAGTGGATTTCTTCACCTACAGTTAAAATCAACCAGAAAACCCAGATGTATTTTATGCTTCAACAGAACGAACCACAAATGATCACTTAGAGCTTAACTGGATTTAGCAAATACACAAGCAGTGCCTTCGTAGTCTCTAACTGTCAACTCCTCAAATCATTTTACTGACCTATTTCAACACATTAAGAGGGTCAAGTTTTTCTGAGTAAATATTATAATCTTTAAAGTTCAACCTTGGGAAAGTTGTCTTTTCTTTCTGTTACTATTCTGCCTAGGGTATACCAAAACAGTTAAATAAAACCAGCATATCAAATCTGGCTTTTTAAAAACATGGCCCAGGCCCTGGCCAGTTTGGCTCAGCAGTTAAGAGTGTCGGCCTGTGGACCAAAGGGTCATGGGTTTGATTCCCAGTTAAGGGAGCGTATTTGGGTTGCGAGTTCAATCCCTGGCCCCAGTCGGGGTTGTGTGGGAGGCAATGATATGTCTCTCTCATGGCAATGTCTCTCTCTCTCTCTCCCTCCCTCCCTTCCACTCTATCTAAATATCAGTAGAAAAATATCCTCAGGTGAGGATCAAAAAAAAAAAAAAAATGTGGCCTGGGCTCCATCAAGTGAATGCTTCAACCTGGGCCTTTGAATCTTAATGAGTGATACAAAGTGAAAGAACAGTCAGAGATTTTTATTAGTCTTGCAGCATCAGCGATGGCAGCAGATGTGTGTCCAGCAGCCACCAGCCAGCAGCATGATGCCGTACTGGCCAGTGGTGGTAGCAGCAGTGGCCCTGTGGCTGAGCTCCTCCTGTGGTGGTGGCAGCAGTGGCCCTGTGACTGAGCTCCTCCTGTGGTGGTGGCAGCAGTGGCCCTGTGGCTGAGCTCCTCCTGTGGTGGTGGCAGCAGTGGCCCTGTGACTGAGCTCCTCCTGTGGTGGTGGCAGCAGTGGCCCTGTGACTGAGTTCCTCCTGTGGTGGTGGCAGAAGTGGCCCTGTGGCTGAGCTCCTCCAGTGGCAGCAGCAGCAGTGGCCCTGTGGCTGAGCTCCTCCTGTGGCAGCAGCAGCAGTGGCCCTGTGACTGAGCTCCTCCTGTGGTGGTGGCAGCAGTGGCCCTGTGGCTGAGTTCCTCCTGTGGTGGTGGCAGCAGTGGCCCTGTGGCTGAGCTCCTCCAGTGGCAACAGCAGCAGTGTCCCTGTGACTGAGCTCCTCCTGTGGTGGTGGCAGCAGTGGCCCTGTGGCTGAGCTCCTCCTGTGGTGGTGGCAGCAGTGGCCCTGTGGCTGAGCTCCTCCTATAGTGGTGGCAGCAGTGGCCCTGTGACTGAGCTCCTCCAGTGGCGGCAGCAGCAGTAGCCCTGTGGCTGAGTTCTTCCCAGGGCTCAGTCTGGCTATATCCTCTGCTTCCCAGTCTTTCACGATCCTACTTGTTTTCCAAGCCTGGTTGTCCAGGCTTCCTACTGACGCAGTGAGTTACTGTATATCCTCCTAATAAATCCCCTTAGCTTAACTTAATCAGAACCGGTTTTATTTGTTTCCAACTGACAAGTCTAGTGTACCAAATATTTACTGAGGAAGGATGGTCTAGCAGACAACAGCGGGTGCCCGACTGCCTGCGTCTACATGCTAGCTGTAAAAGCATCTGTTGTTTGATTTGGGTAAGTTACTCAAACTTTGTCTCAGTTTCCTCATCTGTAAAATGGGGATAATAGAGGTATGAACAGCTCATGGAGTTATTTCAAGCATCAAATAGGTTAATACATATAAAGTGCCAAGGACAGTATTTGTCACACAGCTGACACTCGGGGAACGGCAGCCACTTCTTTCCCTGTTGCCAGCAGCGGCGGTGGCGCTGCTATTGTATTGCTGAGAGCGCATCGGGCAGAGCACAGAGCGGCTGGCACAGGCCGAGGGCACCTGCTCCGTGCACACAGCTCGCCCAGGCACCGAAAGAGCAGTTTGGGGGAAAATGTTTACTCTGTCACAAACAATTTGTTTAAAACTCAGAGCCCATGCTCCTTTGGATAGCATAGACTTCTGAGATAATAAGAAAGTTTGGGCTACTTACTAGATCTGTAAACTTGTAGGAATTACTCAATTTTTCTAGCCTAGTTACTTAGGGAGCTACAGTTTGCTCACATTTTTGTGAAGGTTAAATAAAAGAAGACGTGGGACTAGAACAGCACCTGGCATAAAG